TGCATACACATACACACACACACACACACACGCGCGCGCGCGCGCGCGCGCGCGGCGGCTACGTGTACCCGATAATGCTGCACGATGACCATGGGACACCGGGCTGATTGGGGTGTGCAGCCGACCTATGCAGTTTAATTTATGTTGCATCACCAGCCAGTCGTACGTGCATCAATCCATACGGCCCGCGATCGCTCCGCGTTTTGCTCGCGCTCCGATGCGGCTTTTTTGCGCGACGGCGATCGGCGACTTCGTCTTCCGCGAGAGTACTTCCGCGTCCCACCGATCTCGTTGCCACGTACGTACTCGTGTATATGTAGATGCGCGTGCATGTGCGTATGTGAATGTGTGTGTATGTGTGCGTGCGCGCAAATGAATATACACGCACGTTCGTAGACATCGAGCCGGGCTACGCTACGTTTATAGTCAGCCATCTTTGTTAACCGTGGGTGTCGCCGCGGATAATAGATAAAGGGACTTATGTTCACTTGGAGATCCCCCCCAGCGAATTTCACACGGTATCAAAGATGATAATTGGACCCGTCCGGTGATGGTTATCATTTATTTGAATCTTATCGAAAAATTATTATTTATTGACGGGAAGATCTGCCTTATCTTGAATGTGAAGAGGCCATATGTCGAAAGAGTACGTATTATAATTAATTTTAGGAGCTGTTAGCTTGTGCCGTTTGAATCTTGATGTTGCAGAAAAACAGATGCTAGAATAGTTTAGAACAATTTTGAGTACACAGTGAGAACAATTTCTTGGATTTAATAAATTTCATTAGATTCGAAGAAATTTATCTTTTGAAGTAGTCCAAACAAAACCAATTATTGATTCAACAAATTCGATTGTTTGGTTTTTCAAATAACAAATAGCTTTATTTTAGATAAAATATTTAATAAATTGTTTGAGAAAAAATAATGCTCTTTATTAAATGCTTCAACAATATTAAAGAACTTCTTTCTTTCTTTCTTATTGAAATAATATTTAATCTAATCAAACGAAGTAATTATTTAGTTCAAAGACAAATTTTATTTTCTTTAAATAATGTTTTTGTTTATTAATAATAAAACGATATATTCTAACGACACAATAAAATTTTTATTCAACAAAATCATATTTAATGTAAAATTATATTGCTTAAATTAAATAAATTCAAGTTAAACAAATAAAATTACACAAATAGAATTAAATCTAAAGAAACTTGTCTTTCTGTGTATTATTCAATATACTTTGCTTATTTGTATACGTAAAGAATAGTCTTATTGAAGTATCTAAAAATTTGGTAAAATACAGATCTAAAAGTGATTTTATTGAATCATCAAAATAATTATGTAAGATGTTCCAATTGATTGTCAGAATAAAAATTTTTACAATTTCCATTATATTACCATTATACATAAACATGTTACAGAATTATTTTGATGGCCCAACAAAATTATTTTCAAGATATATTTTTAGATACTTCAGCAAAACCGTTCTTTCCGTGCACATAAAAACAACAAATTATCTATAGAAGATTCATAGCCTTCTCATAATGTGACATTATCGCTACTTTTGCAATGCGAGTATCTTTCAACAATTTTTGAATTTTGAAATACGCGAAAGACCGATATAATTGACAATGAAGTGAATCGACACGAACACCGAAGGATTCGAAAAACACGGTTTTTTTTCTAAGGTAACTTATTTCTCTCTTCCCTGACCCTTACGATAAAACTGGAGTCAATGGGCCAATATGCTCGCCATTGATCAACGTGTGATTTAGTAGCCGGCGACGAATCGTATTCGCGATATGAACCGGTCGTTTATCAACGTGTCCGAGCCAAGATCAAAAGAGTAATAAATAAAGGAGCGTTATGCACGAGTCGTCGCACGCGCGCGCGATACAGAGGCGGAATCAGCGAAGAAAGGCGCAGGAGGAAAGCTAATTAGCGCGGATCGAAACCTCCGGCGCTTGATAAATGGACAGCCAATATTTGGACTAAGGGTGTTCCCCCTCCCATCGTCGTCGATTTTTTTTCTCGCTTTTTATCGCCGAATTCTTTACATTGATCATCGTGGAAGACGCACGAGGGAGGGAGGGAGGGAGGAGGGGGGGGGGGTTGAAAGGGGATGGATGACGACGGCCGTACGCACAACTTACGCGCGTTTGGGTAAATATCTCCGCGGGTATTTACACGAGCGAGCTCGACTCCGAGATAGCCCGTGATTAATGGCCCTTCTTCAAGCTTTATTAACGACCTGTCCACCCAGCCCCACCTTGACCACTTTTGGAAAACCTCGTGTAGCCGGCAAGTTCGTCATATACGATTTTATTCAGGCTGCTTGCCTGAAAATGTACGAAGGCTCGCGCTTTGAAACTTCCACTTTGGAGCTCTCGCGACGAGCAACGATCTCTTGAAATTTTCAAGGTTGCCGCGAATCGTATGCTCAAAAATTTGTAGAATGGTTTAATTTATCAGGTAGATTGTTTGCTCGTAACGCATGTTAATTTTTATCGATTATTCAACATTTACAACAACTACGTTGTTGCGTACACGCGTTAATTATTACGTACGATATTAAATTGATTCTGCGAACGAGCATAGGTCTTTCGAGAAAACAGAACGGTCCTTTTCGTCCTACAGTCGACGTTGAGTCACATGGCGAAAGACCATAAGGCACCGTATAAATATACGGTAATCCTATCCGATAATAGTCGTACGGTCAATTAAGATGGCCGTCATAAGAACCAATTAAACGTAAGTGCGTGACCATCCTGGTTCGGGTTACGTATTTACGATCTAAAATTATGCGTTTTCGTCACCCACTCTACCATTACTCGCCCTACGATTTCTTTTTCGAGTGGCCCTCCGTATTCTCTCCCTTATCACCGATTATGAAATTTCATCTGTGTGCATACGCACACCTGATTTCATACGCGCGTACCACATTCTCGAACGCTTCGACGAGGAGGAAGGGGAAGGGAGGGGGGGATGAAGCGTTTCCAAAGCTCCGTACAATTCGTCATCAAAAATCGCCTATAATTGGCTCAATTATGTGTGTAATACAATTATCAGTTCGTTTCCTCGGTTATACGATGGACTGGAGCGATACTCTTTGGAAAATGCGTAAATAATATATTTGCGTATAAACGTGACGATCGGATGTGTGATCTACGTGATTAATCGCCGCGTTAATTAAAATGTTCGCTTAATAAGTTCGCTTAAACGGCGGGAAAAACAGCGCGGCGATTCATTTAGCAATTATTTTATGTAGTTTGTATACACAACACACACACACACACACACACACACACACACACACACACAAATATATACATATATAATAAAGTATTTTGCGATGCATATCAGCGTGCGCATACGATAATGCGACAGATTTCAAAATGCACGACAATGATGATTTCGGGTGGATTCATCTCGCCGATGAGACATCAAACGCGACGATATTCTTTTAAGACAACGAGAGCACCTCTCTAAGATCGCGCGAACAAAAAGGGCTTTCGCATATGTGCACGTACGTGGAATATACGCGTGTCCCTCGAAGAGTGGTTCTTTTCTTTTTTTTTTTTTTTTTTCGTAAACCCTTTGTCGTCCCGGTTTCTCACATTTATGACTGGTCACCAAACGGGTTGCCACAAGGGCACAAAAAATGGAGTGCGGCGTTTATCAAATATACCTAGCTACCTCGAAGGGTGACCGCCGAGACCTGGTCCGTTTTCCACACTCGCCGTGTTATTCCTCATCCCTAATTGAGGTTTCGATCTAAGAAGCGTCGCTCCCGATTAAAGACGATAACGTTGTGCGCATTATTGTACGCCGTGTGCTCGCAGATTCGCGAGATTTCACAATTAGACTATTCGTGATAATCATCGCATCGATTTTCCGATAATTTATAATGCGATAATTAATTGTTCGATACGTATTTCGTGATAGTCCGACTGTTCGATAAAATAGTTATGATCGATGAACAACATAATAACATATTTGGATAAATGCGTTTGTTTCTTTCGATTATATGATTTTTCAATTATTTTATAAATCTCACGCGTTATTATTCTTCTCTTATTCTTCTATTTTTATTTCTAGTTAAAAAATATTAGAGATATAATTTTTTATTTGTTTTTAAGTTTTTTTTTTTTATATCTAAATATCTCAGATGTATACACGTGACGGTTTCCTTGGACAACATCAACTTTAAAAGAAAGCAAATAAATTCTCATTCGGTGTCGATACTTTCACACACACACACACACACACACAACGGAAAAAAATGAACGGCAAGGGGATTGTTTCATATCGGGGAAAGAGTCGTCCCCGATAGTCCCGTAACTTGAATACGATCGAAGGGACAACACTTTCGCGGTTGAGACATAGGCAACGAACGCTATGCTGATATATGGACCCGTCTCGCGTTGATAGATACCAGAAACTTTACAACTTTAATTTTTCCCTCGACGTCAATTTTGGGTTTTAATCTTGACCTACACCTCGGACAGGACGCGTCAGACAAGAAAAGAATTATTACCGCTACAATTAAATAACGTGCCTCTCCGTGCGAATTGCTTTTGGAACTTCGTGTATCTCATCTGAAAAGAATTTACACTTTCGAGTGTTAAAACATCATATATTTTTTTTTTTCAAAATAAAGAGCAGAGATAAGTTATTTTGTGAATTTTGCGTTTCTTCATTTTTTTAAGAAAGAATGGAAAGATCGTTAATGCACATTGTACAAATTTAGCCAGATGAAATAATATAAAATAAAATAACATTTAATTTAAATAAATAATAAATTAGTTATCCATATTAGACGATGGTATGCATTATATAATCTCTGCTCTTTTTGATTCTCGAATACTCGGAATCGACAGCAAAATTAGCATCACCTATCAACAAGTCTGATATTAATTATTTAATCTTATCAGACAGAAATATCAACACGTGAGGAACCGCAGCAGTAGGAACGCAATAATATACATGATACGAGATAAGATTACGGTTTATACGATTAAAGGATGATACATTACAACGTTCTATATAACACTAATGATACAGGTGATAATGAATGTAACTCCACGTTAACCTTAACAGATAACGCGGCCCAAAGGAGTGCCTTTCTAATCAAGAAAGATGCATTCCTATTTGGGACGTCCTGCATCAGGATTTTTTTCGGTCTACCTATTCCAGTTCGGGACCCTTATTCACGTCACGTGGTACTCATGCTCAGGTCGGCTTGCATCTGGCGAATCCATTGTTCACACATTAATGAAACACGGCCTGGCTTCGCCAACTTTTATCGCGGATATTTCAATTGCGAGCGCGAACAATTGATACCCTCGGCGTATCCGCAATGGAAACATTCGGCGCCTTATCGAATTTGTAGATATCGTGATTTAACGCCGCGAGTCAATCGTCCCCGGACTGAATATCCCATACCAATTGCAAATCCGTCGCGCGTTTTAAAAATTTATTCACATTCTTTTAATGCGTCTTCGACTACACTTTTAACATACATTACGGTTTAACGAAACGTTTTTTGTAATTTCAATAATGTACCCTCTTTATTTTTGCTCAAACTATTTCAACGCAACGTATTCTTTTTATCGAGAACTTGGGGGAACAATTTATTCATTTCAAATTCTTTTCAGTCAGTCTAGTGAAAGATATTTGAAATGTTTGGTAGAAAATTTTTAGATGACAGTGACATGGTTTTTATGTTATATGGTTAGAGATAATCATCCATGTGAATTTGATTTTGGTTAATAAATAAGACACACTTGATTTTCTTGAAAAATATAATAATGATATTTGTACATCAGTGCTCTGTTATAAACAAGTCTACTTTTTATCACATTTCATTTGCATCGCTAATATCAAGATGATTGTTCATTTCTTAATCATAAGCATCATAAATCTCGTATTCAGAATATTTCTTCTTATATAATAGTGACTGTGCCTTAGAGATCGAGTCGTTCTTGCGATCGACATCATTTTATACTAAAACTGACAAAGATAACTCTGTCGTTTCGAGCGAGGCGGTCCCTCCTGTCACGTTTATCTTCTTTTTCAAAACCTCATCTCGTGCATTACGCCCAAATGATAAATATCTACGTCTGTTTACACGAAACAGCCCGGAGCCTAAAATTCAGCGCGCGGTTTGTAATCCAACTGTTTTTCGCATCGCCTTTATTATCTCTGTTGCGCGCGATATACGCAAGATATATTACGATAAAATTTAATGCACCGCGACTAAGACCGCGGCTGGTCCGAGCGATTCGCGTTTCGAGAGGTCGCGTATCTCGGCGGGTGTTTGCACGCTCGTACGCACCGAAGCGTTTGCGAGTTGCGAGAAAAATGGACAACAACGGAAGAAATTGATACGTGTATTTAACGCGACTTGGCTTGCATTTAGAACACACAGAGCGTATCCTCCCGAGTGTTTTGCATTTCCAATATGATGCGTTCTACGTCATACGAGACGTATTTCGGAAAATACGTTGCCGCTTGCAGTTTACGCTTGTAATTGAGTCGACGAAGAAGCGAAACGTCGCGCGGCAGAAACGACATGGTTCTTTCGATAAATAGCATAGATTCTCAGGAAGCGGTTGAGCGGATTCGCAGTCCTGGCTTAGACGATATAAAAAATGCTCGGTACGAGTGCCGCAATACTCGCGCTCGAAATAGCCGCTGCGGGCGGAAACGAAATTACGCAGACCGTGAACGCGTCCGATCGATTGCCGGGAGAAACGAGTTTAGCCCGGCGCGGATCTCCTTCCTGTTCCACAATGAATTTCCAAATTCAGAATCCTCGCTGACGGCCGATCGTCGGACGAACCGATCTTTTCGGCTCGCAACAGCCACTCATCAGTGCCGCATCACGAGCGGGCCGTTCGCGAACGGGAACGACGGATTGGTCATCAAGTAGTAATTACCGCGTGCGCTGAAGAGTGGCTTGTGTCCGCCCATGATGGACGTAGGCTGATCCTTGCACAGACCCAACTTAAATCGAACGAAACTGGAGCAGCTTCTTCCATGAAAGCCGACGTCGCTGATGATAGATTCGGCGAAGAACATGTACGAGCGAGCGTGAGAACACGCGCCGCCGACGTCCACCAGACATCCTACTTGCTTTTGACCACCGTTAGGGTAAAAATCGACATCCCCGATGGGTGTCAAAAAGCCGAGTAGACCACCATTAGTATGAATGATCTCCACGTACGTCGCGTCACCGCTCGATATCCTCGATCCTGGACCGGCCAGATTAAAACCGGGCAAAGCTGGATCTAATCCTGAAGTAATAAATTCGCGCCGTGTTAATGGATATTTATAATTAATTGATTCAATCGATATAACTGATTTTTGTATTCAATAATAAAAAAAAAGCAATGGCATTTGATCGATACGATCGAAAGACGGTTTTTTTATGAAAAATGAATTGTAAATTTGTCTGTGAAATAATACATATATATATTAGACAATAAATGCGTATTGGACGTGTAAGAAGTACATATAAAATTTTTTAAAATTTAATAACTTTTTAAAAGGAGTATGCTTCGACACGTTTATATTGAAAATATATTATTATATTTTTCTGTATAAAAAATAGAGGGAAAGAAAATTTTTGCTTTTAATTCGCGTTTATATAATTCTTAAAATGTGTATAAAACTCAGTGACGCTGAATAAAAAGAATGGTTTCTTAATCTATTGACATCCATAATTTAATTAGCTGATTAAAATATTAGAAATACAAGACGTTTATTTTTTTATGTGATGTTAAATATTTTTTGTAATCAGATGTCAATACTATTAGAATATAAATATCAGGAACTTACCCACGATGTAGCCGATATTGCTATTAGAGTTGCGAGCAGCGATTCCAACTACATGGGCACCAAGAGAGTGACCGGCCAGTATGGTTTGCGACGGATCCATTCCATGCTTTACGAGGAAATTGATCATGGTGGAGACGAATCGACCAACTAGCGGGACACGCCTGCTAGCCCAAATATAAGGCCTAATACTTATTGTACTCCAGTCGATGACGATGACGTTGTAATCGCCGTGCTGAAGATAAGCTACAGCATAAAGGTAACATGCGGACATTAGCATCTAAGAAGGAAAATTAACGTTATTTGTTCAATCAAATTGAATTTTATATTCATCGGTATAGAGAAAAGCGTTGTATTTCAAAATTCTATTAATAATTCTTTTCAATTATAAAACACCATGTATGTTTTTACTTGGCGAACATTTACATACCGTCGCGAATCAAAGTGCAAGCTGTGCTGTTGCGAGAATTTATCCATCCGTGCGTAACAAGACGCGTCGGTCTCGCAGGATCAAATTTACTCTTCTTTAGTGTATCCTCATCATCGACATAAAGCTGTTCCGGTTTGGTAGGATTGTCTCTAGTGTATAGATAGAAGAAGACACGTTTCGGGACTTCACTGTCATTTTCGTCTTCGTGATTCCCATTATCTTCCAGTGTCAGCCTCACCAAGTTCTCATTGTCATCGTACACGTATGCTTCTTCGCCTTCAAATAATGCGTAATCCAGTGACGTAAAAATATCATCAGGAAGTACCTCCTTTTCCACTGGAAGCCCTGCACAATCAAAATACAAAACACTTATACGTCACATAATACGAAATAAAAGAAATATGTATTAAAGTATTACAAAGAAAAATAAAAAAAAAACATAACGTTTAAGTTACATTAAGTTAAGGTACATTAAATTTTTGTTTGAATAAAAAGTTAATGTACAACTCTAGAATCACCGATAGATTAATTCTTTTTTTTTTTTTTCTTAAAGAAATATGCAAATGTTATTTTTACCAGCCACAGTGTAGGCAAGCAAGACACCAATTAAAAAGTGTATCTCCATGTTTAAAATTATACTGTTATTGATTGCAAATTCGGCCGCTTTATAAAGCGATTATTTTATCGAGTTTACTTATATATAATTTTAGCGATAAGATAAATTTCATTTTGCAGATGTATCATAACTAATCGATTAGATAACATCTAGTAAATCTGTTTAGATCACAACAACATTTGCATTGTAAATTTATTGAAATAAAACATTTTGTATGCTTTCCTAAGATAAAAGGTGCGTTTTTAATCTTTGAAGTTAATTTTTAATTATGTATTTTAATTTATACCAAGTGTTAACGAAACATTAAACATGAAATAAAATTATATTAAATAATGTAAACGATTGATGTAATTCTAAATATTATTATGATTAGAAAAAAGGTTTCAGGATTTTAGAAATTTTCTCTAGAAAAAGTAATATTTTCACTTTGAGAAGAAATTAATACTGGTGATTATATACTATTTTCAAAGTAATTAATTTAAAAGGAAATGTTATATTTTGAAATATATTGTTTATTGATCATTTCAATTGCAACTTCAAACATTTAATAATTTTATATATCCTCAAATCTTTTGTTTTTTCTTTTAATAACTATTAAGAATCAGATGAGAGAGAACGCTGAAGAATTATTAATACATAAAAATATTCATTAAATTCTATAAATAAAAAATTGACACATGCATTAATGTGACATGTACATAATTGCAAAATACTAAATCTACCATTGATTATAAAGGCGATTTAAAAGAATTAATGAAATGTATTTATTTTAATCGTATTTGGTAATTAAAATCTTTAATAGGATATCAAAGAAAAAGGATTCTTTCAAAGTAGATGTAAATTTAAAAATTACAATGTTTAGAAAAAATAGCAACGACCTTGAAAATGAAACCTTGATAATGAAAAAAAAAAAAAAAAAAACTAAGAAAGAATGAACACGATTTATATTAAATAAATTAATCGAATTCTTAAAAATCACGAAAGAAAATATGTACTTCGGTAAATCTTTAAGACAAAATTGATATAATGTCGATCGATAAGATGTCATTTATTTTTTTTTTTCAATGTCATTTATCCAATCTGTATACCGTCCAATTCTATTACCATGTCGAGATTTGTCATTTTCCGCATCTGGTTCGTGCCGTAAATCAATTCCAGCCCTCGTTGAGATTATTCGATATGCTTAATAAAGCGGATGTTATCGACTTGACAAAGACATTTTAAGATTAAGAATTAAAAGCTTAATAGCAAAAATCGGAAAAAGATCACATGCGCAATGTGTGTTCAGAGATATTAATGAATATTCTATCGCGCGGAAGAATTGTACACAAAACGCTAGAAATATGAAAATGCAAATTAATACAGCGTAACAATTCGATAAATCATATAATTTAAATATAAAACGATCGGTCAGCTCGTATTCCATACATTCCAATATCTCTTGAAAGAGTTTAATATTTTAAGGACATTATTATTCTCTATTATTATATTAATTATATCGAGTTAATATCGGGTTAATGATATAATTAAGCTATCAAGTAAATAGAGTTTTTACGCAATTCACGCTTTGATTGTAACCTCATTTTGGACAATCAATTATTTGTATATCAATTGCGTTATCCGCATTATCAATCATTCTTATAAAATATCGATAAGCATTAATTATCCAGATGTATCTCATTTGATTTTTCAATGGTGCCTTGAAATTTTATACAATACAGATTGAACATCTGTTTACGCGATAATACAATATTGAAGGGGTAGATTTATCAAAAAAATAACAACGCATCTTAACGATACAATAAGAATTAGATAAGATAAGATTCAAACGAGGAAAATATAAGGAAAATATATCTTTGTTATTTCTAAAATCTAATCTGATAGACATTAGTCGATTAAAATTGTTACATACAAAAGGCTAAATAAAGACAAATATATTTAGAAAAAAAGTAAATAGATTGTCAGCAAATTAAAAACGATAAAAGATATATATTAAAACGATAGTCCTCTTTTCCGTATATATTTATAACATTAGTCAGAACATTAGGAAAGATTTGAAATTCAGCTTCAACGCGGTTATATCTAATGCTTCATCTATCGTTTCAAAAAAGAAACAACACATTCGGAATGTACATAAATCTCAAATGGTCGTTGTATGGCAATCGACATTAAGAATCTGACAAGAAGGTACGATAACGTACAAGCGTAGGTTCTTGATCGATCGATGTTTCTTACGTGCGACTTAGACCGGCAAGATGAGGAACGACGATACGAGAAACGACTTACGTGAGGCGACTAGGAAAAATACGATCTCCTAAACGCGCGTGTTTTCCCACCGAGACATTTAATTTCCCCCGTACTTGTGGCTTTTTATTCGTAATTGAGTCCTACCGCCCCGTGGAGTCCCCCGTCGCGTACGTAAATTTTAAAATATTCCAATTAGTATAATGAAATTAGCGCGCTTATGAAAATTTCGCGGCATTAGCCGGGGGACGCGAGAGAGGCGACGTTAACGTGTCTATGAAAATTTTCATTTGCACATTGACGTGAGAGACTGTTAAGCGAGCGCGGAAGGATTAAGAGACGGAAACCTGTTGTGGCGTGTGTTCTTTTTAAAAGCTGCGGCGGGTTCTCTCGCCCTCGGCGGTTACATTTCTCAGACAGAATCAAACAGGTTCGCCTCGCACACTGCGCGCTGGATAAAAACCAGTTTTAACGATCCGCTTGAAATTTTTATTGTACACAGAGCGCTTTCCGCGGAATGCATCCGATACAAATACTCTCCGATCTGTAGCGGCTATCGCCTTTGTTCCGCCGATGCGTTTACAGGTGTTGAATATTAAAATGAGATGGGTTTATCGGAAAAATCTATCGGGACACGATCGGCTTACGTTTTTCCCGCAAGCTCCTCGTTTACCTTCGCCCTATCACATTATTTGCAGACCTGACGTGCCTCTAACGTAATTAACGGCAAATTAGCGATTAATAAATGTCATTACGTTTTTCAGTTGCACATTTTTGGCGCACGCTTATAGATTTCTTTTAAAAATTAGAAAAAAAAAAAAGAAATAGAAAAGAAACGAGATTGGTTCTTTTGTATTTTAAAGTTCTCTCGGAAATTGATTTTTTTTCGCACGCGAAAAAGAAAAAAAAAGATTTTTTACACATTTTTCAGCAAGGCGTAGGCTAGAAACCGTGCAAAATTATGCTTAGATGACCGAAGACTCGACGTCCACGGTGCGGGCGCTTGCGTGAAGCTCGAAAATGAGGGGGACGACGGGGGGAAGCAAAGTGGGTGGTGGTCTGGGGGTGACGGGAGAGCAGGGGGTTGGAGCTGTGAAAGCGAGGGCGCCTGCAGTGACTAGCCTCCATCGATTTACCGTGCGGCGCCATCTTGCCACCCTACGCCACGGGGGTTGACCACCCCTCTGCCACCCCCTTGCCCCCCTCCGCCGCCGCCCGTCGGGGTCACCCCCCTCGAGGCAGAGGCAGACATTTTGAAAAATGATTCCGAAAGTCATCGTGGCCCGCACTGGCGTTTTTTAGCGGGCTCGACCCGGCCGCCCGGTCCGCCCGACGTCCCTCTCTTTTTCGCACTTGGTCTTTCGCACTCGAAGAGCAAGGAAAGAAAAAGCGGACGCGCGACAAAAAGAGGGAAAACTATCGTGGCAAAAGACGCGGAAATAAATGAGCGCGTAGCTTTCTCGCCGGAGTCTGCGTGTTCTGGTTATTAAGCCCTAAGTGATGAGATTTTCGCGACGCCGAGCACCAGCCATAACAAAACGCCAGCCTCAACTTTTTCATCACATCGAGTCGCGACGATCGTTTCTTTTTTTTTTTTTTTTTTTATCTTTTACAAACAGCAGCATTAATCATCGCCGCGTTCATTTAGAATCATCGTACTCTAAGAACTCGTGACAGAAATACGTCTCCTTCTTAACGCGTGGCTTGTATTACGCGTGTACATAACGCATAATACAAGCGTGACGCATAAAAATAATTAAAATAGTTTTACTGCACGTTTGACTTTTTATCGAAATATCGACGGCCGGGGAAAAGAAACTTGTTACTACGTTTTACTTTAATCTGTACGAAGCGATATCGTCGTTGCGAGCCGAGAATTTATGATTGCTCCTATATAACGCCGTGTCGAGCTATCTGCAATTATGCATACGAGTAAATCTATGTGTTCAAATACTAAACGGTTGACTTTCTAGAATTACTTATTTTCAGAAGGCATTAATTTCCGTAACTGCAATCTGCAGTATCGTGCAGACTGACTCAGAATTTATATTTATATGCAATTTATATAACGGCATCATATGTATATGTAGCATGCGCGGATACATCGATATTGGATTAAATTAAATCCTTCGGAGAATAGTTTTCCGTTTATATTTATTCTCGATTTACGCGTTAGTTTTGAATATATAAATTACGTAGCACTCTTAAGAAAATCCCAATAATTTACTGAAAGGACGTGATATTTTAAATGGACGGTTGCAGCCTGTGGCTGGACATTCCGAATCAAAAGAGGCGAAGAACAAAAGTCGAGAGGAGAGAAAGATTTCAATCGTGTCTACCAATCGCGGGATAAACAATACGAGGCTTTCGAGAATGCACGGTGCGGTCGATCGGCTCTTGATTAATCAGAAAAAATTCTTGTTTTCGCGAAAAAAAAGATCACCATTCGAGACGATGGCGCAGAAACAAGGGATTCCGAGGTCTCATGGGAAATGTGTAATAATCCCTTTCTGAAAAAAATCATGTTACCAAAATCTGAAATATATCGAAATATTGAAGTCTTTTTTCCATAATCTTGATTAGCACTTTCGCTACACTTACTTCATAAGTAGCTGTCATCGTAAAAATCGCGTATTTTAAGTTGTATGTGTCGAGAAGGTTATCATTATTAATAATAATAGTGTAATATTGATTGCAATTATTTAAACATTTTAACATTTGCTTCTACATCGATGAAGGTTATTCTTTTCTTTTTAAATGCGAAAATTATTTTAGATATGTTTTACAAAATTCTTATTATAATATTTATTGATAAAGATAATAATACTTGAAGAAAATAATATCTGAAAGTCTATGAATCGATGAATTAATAAAAAGAAAAATCAAATCAAATAAAAATACAAAGGAGTTGGAGAGTAAGTGATGCACTCTCGATGGTATTTTAATAAAATAAATAAGATATAATAAAAATATAAAACTTTCGACGCGCACACTGAAGAAATGTTATTCAGTAATATTTATTTACAGCATCAAAGTTACCATAATAAGTGATTTAATA